GCACTTGTGCCTAAATTGTTTGCGCAAAGGCCATGGTATGCAACAGTGCAAGTCTGGTTCTTGCAAACGCTGCCATTCGAAGCATAATTCGTTGCTTCACATCGATTCTAATGCCATCGCCACACCCTCTCCTCCAACTACCGCTACTAACTCTCAAAATGTCGTTTCGCTTTTATCATCATCATTCTCTGAAGCTCCACCTGTTGTCTCGTCAGATAGTAAGACCGATTATGTGCTGCTTGCCACTGCCATCGTATACATCAGAAATCGATCTGGTGCATTTGTTCCCTGCAGAGCCTTGTAAGATTCTTGCGCTTAAATCAACATCGTCACTTCTCGTTTCGTTAAGCAGTTGCAACTCACTACTCGTCAAGCAAACACTTCTATCTCTGGAGTTGGTGAATCATCATTTTCATCAAATTCAACCGTCGATCGCGAAGCACACTCCAGGGATAAAAAATATCGTACAGCACTGACTGCAGTAATTAGTGGCAAAATTACGGATTATCAGCCTCATTTTGATTTAAACGCCCTAGGGTGGAACATACCACCAAATCTTGTTCTTGCTGATCCGTGGTTCTACAGTAGTCAGCGTATCGATTTGTTAATAGGAGCTGGCATCTTTTACGAATTGCTTTGCGTTGGGCAAATGCGTTTAGCCGAAAATCTGCCTATTTTGCAAAAAACGCATCTTGGCTGGATCGCATCGGGAGGGATTTCGTTCTCAAACTTGAAGCATTCAGCACTTGCAGTGACCACTGAGCCCCTTATCCAATCGGAAACCGATTCCTTGCCAGACATTGTCAAACGGTTTTGGGAAATCGACAGCTACTGTGGATCTCCAATTGTCGCAACTGATGAAGATGTATTGTGCGAGCAGCTATTTCAGAATACATTTTCTCGACTTAGTTTAGCGCAATACTCAGTTCGTTTGCCTGCCAAAGCCAGTTTTGATATGCTCGGCGATTCATACGGTCGTGCCTTACGTCGATTTAAGACGCTAGAGTGCAAGTTGCTCAAGGATTTGGTATTGAAGTCGCAATACGCTGCATTCATTAAAGAATATATCGACCTACAGCATATGTCACTTGCTTCTGAGCAATCAGTAACCTCGCAATATTACTTGCCTTATCATTGTGTGCAGAAGCCAGATAGTACAACCACGAAGTTACGCGTTGTATTCGATGGCTCAGCTAAAACAACCTCAGGATACTCTCTAAATGATTTGTTGTTTGCAGGTCCCTCAATACAGCCCAAAATCTTCAACACACTGCTTCGATTTCGTTTTTTCAAAGTTGCATTATGCGGGGACATCTGAAATATGTATCGATGTGTCCGTGTCACTAGCCCTGAAAACTATTTGCAGTCTATCTTATGGCGTGACAACCCAAATCAACAAGTCAAGACTTATACGCTCGATACGGTTATCTACGGCACTAAGCCGGCTGCATTTCTGGCAATTCGTGCTATGCAGCAGCTATCCTATGATGAGAAAGCTGAGTTCCCGTTGGTAGCCAAAATAGTTCGAAGAGACTTTTATGTAGACGATCTCATATCTGGAGGGGACTCGATCGAGGCGGCAGCTCAAATTCGTGAGCAGGTGAAGGAATTGCTATCCAAGTGTCATTTTCCAATTCGAAAATGGTGTTCAAATGAGGCAGCAGCTTTAGAAGGCGAGCCAGAAATTGATCGCGAGAAAACGCTCAGATTTCATGATGGAACTGATGTCCTCAAAGCACTCTGCTTATATTGGGATATAAATCGGATCACTTGCTTTTCTCATTGTCTGGAACTATGACAGAAAGCGGTTCAACGAAAAGATCGATTTTATCGGCCGTTGCCAAGTTCTACGACCCTCTCGGATTGATAGCACCGATTGTTACCAAGATGAAAATATTTCTGCAAATTCTTTGGAAAGACAAACTGGATTGGGACGAGTCGCTTCCGCAATCTCTTCACTCCTCATGGCTGGAGCACATGTAGCGGCCAAGTATCACTTTCATAGGCTGTTTGGAAGATCGCTTTTAACTTTTCATAAACTTCGTAATCTCGTTTGTGAAGTTTCTGCCATGCTTAATTCTCGACCGCTCTACCCCATTTCAGAAAATCCTAGCGACTTGGAGGTTCTCACGCCTGGACATTTTCTTATTGGCGCTGCTTTCAACGTCATAGACGAACCCGACATCACCCATCTCAACATCGATTGGTTAAGTCGCTGGCAGCGAGTTTGCCAGTTGCAGCAGGCGATTTGGCACAAGTTGAGCACTGCCTACATATCGCTACTCCAGGAACATGGGAAATGGCGATCAGAAAAGGCAAATTTGTCGCCCGGCAGCATAGTCATCATAAAGGACGACAATCTTCCTTCACTCCAATGGCGCATGGGCAGAGTTGAGAGCATCGTTCTTGGACCAGATAACGTGGCCCGAGTTGCAGTTATTCGAACCGCTGCAGGCATCATCAGAAGAGCTGTTGGCAAGTTGGCCGTTTTGCCCTTTGAGACCACCTCGTCTGTCAGCGTGACTCTTCCAGCGGGGGAAGCATGTTCGGAGCAGAACCCCTAACTTGTAAACTCTATTCAAAATTCAAAGTCTAACTGCTAATGTAACGTAACGTAACGTAAGCGTAAAGTTGTTTACCAACACTTGTCTATTTGCAATCGCACCTAACTTTGCTTATCTATTTTCTCTATCTTCATTATCACTTCTTTTCGCAACTCTTAACTTATTGCATTCAACTTTCGTTCGATCTCGCTCACCCTCGCAAGCACACGTTTCGCCAAACTGTCGGTCGCGATCGTGTACACAAAAAATACATAAACTTTGTACATAAACTTAAACCAAATAATACTCAGCAACGCAAATACAAAAATCACATCTCATTTAAATCACAAACCATTGGCCTTTTTTGAAGTGCATAACGCGGTAGCAACAAATTAGTTGCAGTCCTCTAAACAATAGGATTCTTAAAATTTTTTTTATCAAAAATATTCGACGTTCTTCCATAGTGGCGTCATTTCGTCAAGCCCTCGGGAAAATGTGCGCCGGCGTTGTCAGCAGGGTTGCCAACTCGGATTTTAAAAAAGGCGTAGGTCAGATAAGGAAAGTTATGTTAAAATGTGAAATTGCCATATAAAAAATACGTAGATCTACGTACTTTTTTTTCTGAGTGAAATTAAGAGAGTAGGGTAGGTAAAAGTAAAAAAAAAATGACAATTTATATTACCCTAAAAGTAGTAGACAGCAAACAAACAACAAATTTAAAAATAAAAAAATCTATGAATTGGCTTATTTGCCACGAGATTCTGGTAAACCTATACCACCTGCAGTTAATTTAAACAAGTTAAGTTCCGTTAGTAAGAAACGGAACGTTTATTAATTTTTTTTCCGCGAAAATAAAGGTAATTATGCCCATTCAGACTAGTTTGCAAATTTAAACAATTGTGATAGAAAATACGTAGATTCTGGGACTTAAGTTCGTAGGTTTGCAAGAAAGGATTAAAGTACGTAGATCTACGTAAAAAGACGTAGAGTTGGCAACCCTGGTTGTCAGTATAACTCCTAGCGGTATTATCGGAAATGAAAACAAATTAGTTAACACTTAAAACTACTCCTTGAAAAAGAAAACAATATACATATGTATAATAAAATAAGAAAATTTGGCAAAAAACTAAGTTAATACAGTTGTAATTGAAAAAATAAAATTGTCCAGATTGTTGTAAACTGTATCCCGAAGACCTGTCCAAAATTTTATCAAAATTGGTTCAGTATTTCTCGAAAAATCTTGATTACCTACTTAAAAAACACACTTTAATCGAATTTTAAGTTTTGAGCGCTTACTCGAACTAACTTTCTATTGTCTCTATCTTTAAACTTATTTTTTGGATGGATCTGAACATTTTGGGAGAATATTCCAGACAAATTCCAAAATGAAATACAACAAGTATAAACGAAACGATTTTTTGACACCGTAAATCCCATGTCGAATGGCACCGTTTTTTTGTTTTAAACAATTTAAGATGTTATTGGTAGGATGTTATTCGGACCTGGGTGACCGAAGTTGCATATAATAAGCCGATATTGCAGTCGTCTGGTGTTGGATTATTGCAAATACGTTCACCCTAATTTCACTTTCCGCCAACGAATTTCAAAGGTTTATAAAAACCCGTCATTTGCGTATTTTTTATTTTTTGAAGCTGTTTTTACCGTGGACCGCACTTGTAAACAATTACCAAAGTTATTCATAAATGCCTAATCTGCATACTAACATAGGCTTAATTCAATAACTCCATAACTTCACTTTAGTGTAAACAGCCCAGCATGCAAAGTTAGGAGCGCTCCGAATTAGGTGTCTGAAAAGAGCCCTGCTTCGGAGCGTTTTTGGAGTAAACACATATTTCAGAACGATTTAGGAGCGTTTTCGGAGTAAACACATATTTCAGAGCGATTTAGGATCGTTTTTTGAGTTAACACATATTTTAGAGCAATTTCGGTGCGTTTTCGGAGGGTGAAAGCACCTATTTAGGATTCAAAAAAGAGCACTTATCGGACTCTCAAATTACCATCCTTATGACGGACCATTTTCAAGGGGAAAAACGCTCTTTCCGGTATCTTTTCGGAACACTTTATGGGTGTTTTTACCCAAAAGAAAGGTTCAAAAAACGCTCCGAAAACGCTCATATTGCATGCTGGGAGGCAGTGCCTGTTGATATGCATTACGTATAAATCCACTATAAAAACAATGGCTCCAATGTTAGGTTGGCCATTCCGTCCAAGTTCAAAATGATTTATTGTGACTGGTAAAACTTTATTATAATAAAAATGATGATGAATTTAAAATATTTAGTTTATTCCTAAAGTTTTTAAAAAAGAAAAAAATATATAATTTTTTCGACTTTTTAACCAAGCCTCCTGTACTGTGCTGATGTCAGTGATGTGATGATGATGCCTAGTGACGACAAGTTAAAAATTTGATACCTCGATAGTTTCCCAGCTCTAGAATGAAGACAAACAGCTGATAGTAAATTAAGATTAAAAACAGGGGAGCAGTACGGTTAACATAAAGTTTATTGGATATTTTTCAAACCGTGCTTAACATGGGTATGCGAACAAAAAATATTTAAATCAATGCTATGTTATGCTATGCAAATATAAATGTATATACATGTATTTTAATTGTCATTGCAACCGCTTTTCGTTTGTTTAGTTACTGCAGTAAGCATATAATCGTACATGTATGCACGGATATACTAAGTAACAGTACAGTATGTCGACAAATATGTTTTTAAGGACCTTTTTTGAGTGTTTATTTGATTTTTATTTACGTATGTATGTATATATAGTAATGATATTTAAGTAAAATGCAGTGTATGGTTTTTGTATGTAAATATACTTGCAGACAATAAAATACTTAGATTAATAATGTGCGTACATACATACATATGGAAAAGTCTAATTTCATACATGTATATGTAAGCTTAGTGTGTTAAATGCAACAGAAACTTCCGATCCCATAAAGTGTATATGCATATATGTACATTCATACATATGAATTTTTGAACATACAACCGGGGCAATACCGAGTTAAGCAAAAAGCCGATTACGGTAAAAAAAAAACAAGAAAGGAAACTAGCTTCGGCAAGCCGAAGCTTATATACCCTTGCAGTCATTAAACATGTCGAACAAAATTCATGAAGGCTAAACAACATCGAAGCTATGACGGTTTTTATACTCATTTTCTATATTGTTCATATGACAGCTACATATGTACAATTTGTCACAAAAGTGTTTTCGCGTGAAGATTTTTTTATAAATTTCCCATTCTTATTAAAAAAAACCACTTTGCCATAAGTTTTGAGAAAGATTTTTTTTAATTTTATATTATTCATGTTTTTCTTAAGAATACACAAAAAACAAAACATAAATTTTCCAACTATAAAAAAAGTTATAACAAAAACAAAAAAAGTCTACTTATTCTCCACAAGTTGACTTTTAGGATCGACTAGATGATATTAATATGCATTTTGAGCATTTCAATGTCAGCTCTCCGTACTTACAGACGATAATAGTCGTATAAATAAGTGTTTTACAATGCCGGGCAAAAGAGTTTCTTTTGATGTGACCCCAATTGGTATATTACAGCCATACCATTGGGAAAAGGACTTCGGACATTGCAAATATGTTTAAATTAAATATAAGAAGTGTCCAAAATATAATAAGTCGGACAAAAAAAGAGAATAGGCTCGAAAATAAGCCAGTAAATGGTCGGCCGGGTAAGCTCTGAAACAGAGCTATTCGGATTATAAAGAAAAAAGTATACCAGAACCCCATGATCTCAACAAGAAAACTGGCTGAGGAGGTAAGGGAAGAATGTGGAGTGGATGTTTCTCATGAAACTATTCGCAGAACTATTAGGAGCCATAATTTCACATCCCGAGTAGCTAGAAAGAAACCCCTGTTATCAAAACAAAATGTTGAAAAGCGTCTTTCATTCGCTCAAACTCTTTTGGATGAGCCCCCAAGCTATTGGAACGACGTGATTTTTTGTGACGAGTCGAAAATAATGTTACATTATAACGAAGGACCCAACCGAGTGTGGCGAAAACCGTTGTGTGCCCTACAAAATAAAAACATAATACCGATTGTAAGATTCGGCAAGCTGTCCGTCATGGTGTGGGGGTGCATCTCAAGCAAAGGAGTGGGTGATTTAGTATTTATCGAAAATACGATGGATGCTAAACAATATCTTGACATTTTAAAAACAAATTTGGTAAACAGCGCGAACACATTTCGTTTTGGGCGCAGCTTTAAGTTTTACCAAGACAACGACCCAAAACATAAGGCTGACAGTGTACGAATGTGGACGCTCTATAATTGCGGTAAGGTGATTGAGACTCCAGCCCAGAGCCCGGATATCAACCCTATAGAGAATGTGTGGGCGTATTTGAAAAAGAAGGTCGGAAAAAGGCATCCCACATCGCGACCAATGCTAAAGGAAAATTTTTTGGAAGAATGGAATCAGATCCCAATAGATTATATAGAAAAATTAATAAATTCAATGAAATCTCGACTCCAAGCTGTTGTTAAGGCCAAAGGACATCATACCAAATATTGATTAATTTAATTACATCAATAATAATTATTATTATCACCCAGTTCCTTAAAACGAAAACACTTATTTGACAGTGGATCTTCACGCGAAAACACTTTTGTGACAAATTGTATATGATATAGTCGTCCAATTTTGATCAAATTTAGTTTGAAACTCAAGACTCATTAGAAAACTCTATGTTCCAAAAATTTAATTGTATTTTGAAAAACAACGAGGTAATCATTTTATTTCCGTTATTTCTATATAGATTTTTCGATTTTTCCTATGGCAACTATATGATATAGTTGACCGATTTTTATGAAATTTTTTTCTCGATTTAAGAGTATTTAAAAAACTTGATGTTCCAAAAATCATGCTCGTGGGATTAAAAACAAAGACATTATAATTTTTTCCACTATTTATACCTGTATATATTTTTTGATCTCGCCTATGGCAGCTATATGATAGAGTTATCTGATTTTGAGAAAATTTAATCCGAAATTCAATAGCAGTTAGAAAATGCCATCTGCAAGAAATCAAGTCGATCCGATCAAAAACAGCTGCCTGAGAATTTTTTATTTCATTCTCTCGTATTGGAGCTATCCGATATAGTCGGCCGATCCGGCTCATTTCGACTTATATACTGCGTGCAATAACTACACTCCTCTGCAAGGGTATAAAAATTCCGAGTTGAGCAGAAACCTTTTTTCGACATAAAAAATGAATGTCCGATTTGAGCAGAAACGATTTTTGCACATAAAAAATGAACGTCCAAGTTGAGCAAAAAACCGATTATGGTAAAAAAAAAAACTTCCGAGTTGCGCATGAATGCTTTTTCCACATAAAAAATCAATGTCAAAGATGCCACAAAATCATTATGAATTTAATAATTTAATTTTTCTAAAAAAATGTTATTTTTTCAGTTTTCAGTTTAGGTTTATTTTTTCAGTTTTTAATTTAGTTTTTTTTTTTTTTTTTTTAGAAAAATTACTTATTAATCATATAGCATATGTATCAATGCAGAAGTGCACGCGTACTTTATTTTTTTTTAGTGAAAAGTATAATGTCCGCGACACTTCCAGAAGTGTCTTCCGCGACACTTCCAGAAGTGACTTCCGCGACACTTCCAGAAGTTACCCAGAAGAATATTCCCAATTGGAAAAAAAAATAATAGAAAATATTTTTACTATATTTATTAAAAATTTGAATTTTTTTAATATAATTTTGTATATTTTCGACGCTTGTACACCCGATGAACTGGATTGGAAGATTTTTTAATTTTTCAGCTCTGAATCATCCGGAAATTTAACAAATGTAAACTCTAAAAGAAAACAAACAAATAACATTATTAGACCTTTATATAAAAAAAAATAGTTGATCTTAACATGTGCTGCATTTTTTCGGGCATTATACGCGTTGTTAGACGTAATAATATCTTTAAACACTTAACAATTTTCAGACTTGAACTGGCAAGACAGCAATCTAGAAACTAAATGACGCTTTGCAGCACAGTCAGTACGCGGGTAAAAAAAAAAAAAACAAAAAAATGTTCAGTAAAACCAGAATATCGGTAAATTTTTGGGACCCTTGCTTTACTATCTTCCTATCAACTTCCAGAAGTGAGTTGGGAGATATTTTTTTTGTATATTTGTTGTTGTATGTTAAAATGTGTGCTATCGTCTTTCTAACGTCCAGAAGTAACTCAGAAGTGTCTTCTTTGGGATAGATGTGTATTTTGCTTTTGTAAAATGTGTTCTATCGTCTTTCTATCTTCCAGAAGTGTCTAAAAAGTGTCTTCTAGGCGATAAAAAACTCTCTTTTTTTCCAAAAATTTCTATCATCTTTCTATCTTCCAGAAGTGACTTATAGGCGATTATAGGCGATTTATCTTCCAAAGGCTTGCAGGGACGTTGAATTATAGGTCCACTTTCTTCCAAATATTTTTGGGTAATATGCAGTACATTTTGTTTTTTGAACCATGGTACTCAAAAGAACTCTCATCGGTCCACAAAATTTGTTTCCAAAAAAAATTGGGCTTGTTAACAAATGATTTGGCAAAGGTTAAATCGATTCAACTTTTTATACCCTTGCAGAGCAAAAGGGTATTATAATTTCAGTCAGAAGTTTGCAACGCAGTGAAGAAGACACCTCAGACCCCATAAAGTATATATATTCTTGATCAACATCACCATCTGAATCGAAATATGTATGTACGTCTGTCCGTCTGTCCGTTTCCGCGCAAACTAGTCTCTCAGTTTTAGGGCTATCTTGATGAAACTTTCCCAAAAGGTGTGTAGTTATTGCACGCAGTATATAAGTCGGAACGGGCCGGATCGGTCGACTATATCGGATAGCTCCCATACGAGGGAATGAAATGAAAAATTCTCACACCGTTGTTTTTCATCAGATCGACTTGAATTCTGCAAGATGGCGTTTTCTAACTGTTATTGAATTTCGGATTAAATTTGATCAAAATCGGATAACTCTATCATATAGCTGCCATAGGAAAGATCGAAAAATCTATATAGAAATAATGGAAATAAAATTATAACATCGTTGTTTTTCATCAGACAAGTATGATTTTTGGAATATATGATCTATAGTCAAAAATATGGAAAATGAATAAAAAAATCGTCTTAGCTTCGATGTTGTCTAGCCTTTATGCGTTTTGTTCGACATATTTGATGACTGCAAGGGTATATAAGCTTCGGCTTGCCGAAGCTAGCTTCCTTTCTTGTTTTTAGGTGAAATGAAAGGTATCGGACGGGCCGCATAAGTAGCAAAGTTAGCCTCTTTCAATCTTCTTTCGACGGTTTTTCTACTACTTGAAATATCATAATATTTTTTAACTTCAAATGAAGCTGCTTTTGGTGTAATTAGGGCATCATCTTCTAATTTTGCAAGGATTAGACGATCTTGTCTAGGCGTAGTTTCGCGTGGTCGTCCTTTTCTGACTAAATTATCCGTCGATTTTGTCAGTTTATGTTTGTTAACTTTTTAGACCCTTGCA